GAAGACTTTTTTTTTTACCTTATAAAAAAAATCAACATCTGTTTTATATTTAGATTGATAAATTAAAAAAATCACAGACTTCTCAGTCAGAAACTTAAGATAACTGTTGATTCCTCTAGGAGACCTCATCACTTCAAAAAGTAAATATCCTCAGGATATTGTAGGCTTATACACTCCAAGTTAGACAGCAATTCACTTTTATTATAAGGCAACGTTTCATGCAGGTTGTATCTGTTCCCCAAGTCACCATAATACTGGACTGAAGGTATCCAGTTCGGGTTATCAGATGGATTCCATGGCTGCTATTTGGCTCTGAGGGAAAGACCTTTCCAGATCATCTGCATAAAACACCTTTACAGCTGAAATTCCCCACAAAAATGTAAGATGATTAAAATCCAGTGAGTATTTGTGGAATGGGCACTTACCCTTTAGGAACTAGACTGCCATCATGAAATTATTTCACAAAAGCCACCAAATGTCATGGAACTACTTTCAGTGCTGTGAAGTGGGCATATGGACTGAGGTAGTACTAGATGGATCCTAGATAGATCCTTGTGATTTTTTATTTTTTTTTAATTTTTTTTTTGGATCCTTGTGATTTTTTATTTTTTTAAATTTTTTTTTTAGAAAAGTATTTACTGGTATCACTTGATTTTAAAAAAAGAACAGTGTTCTGCATGGTAAAAAAGCCCTGTCACAACTCCTGCTGACTGACAGTTGTTCAGCAATCTGAGAAAGAGAAACCAAAGGCTTGGTGGGAACAGAAAATGAATTTCTTAACCAAGGGGTAGTGCCAGTAAGGGAGAGGTAAAGCGGGCTGAAGGAATACTGCTGGAGAGCTGCTATTGCTTGTGTGCAGTCTACGCTGTGAGTACAAAGATCTCCAGAACGTAGGGGCTGCACTTTTCATTCAGTTCTTTCACTTTCTAATAGGGGTGTGCTGCGGTGGATATATAATCAGCTGGTCCACTGAGGTGAAAGGTGCAAGGTAGAGGTAACAAAACTCCTTTCATAAGAAACCTTCAGTCCTTTTCAGCCTCTGGTGGACCAGACTCACACAAGGAGGATATAAAGCTTCCGTGGTTTGATTGATTTAAGGTAGGATAGGTCAGTCAGAGGCAGGAGTCAGAGCACTGGATCTTTTCAGATAAACAGAGCCTGTAATTACAAGCCAGTTCCACAAGTTTAAGATAACTCGCAGATCTAAAATCATAGCTGTATTGACAACTCTCAATATATTCCCCTCCTATTTCGTAAAAGGTACAAAATTTGAGTATCTTCTCTTTGCTTTGTAAACACAGTTAAAGATGATAAAGCACAGAGGTGGCTTTCTAAGTACCCTTTCCGTTACAGGGAAAAAAAACCCTCAAAAACTCTTAGAACTTTTGCTCAGACAAGTCTGTTTTAATAGGCATAATGTATAAATTGCTTTGATAACCATATTCCTCCACTACCTTTATATTTTGAAGTATTCACTCTAGCTTTAATTTTATTAATGTATTTCTTTTATCTTTCATCTGAATAGTGTTCTGTATGTAAAGTGACCAAATGTGATTAATGATGAATAGATTAAGATGGGACAGGGTGTTTGAAAAATGACTTAAGTAGTGCATGTAAGTCACTGGCTATAGTCCCAAAATGCAAATTCTGGTTAAGTTAATGACTGGAAAATCATGACGGCACTAGTGTATGAGTTCTGCGTTATTTGAAATTGCTTTATAAACAAGAAATAATTAGCATTTTGCATTGGGACTAGTTAATAGTATCAAACACTTAATTATTTCTATAGGCATTGGTATTTTAGAGTCAAAAGTATTAATATAATTGACTTATATGATTATAATTTTTTGCTGTCCAGAGTTTGTAGGAGTTTTGCCTTGCAAATAGCATGCTGAAGTTCATGTCCCATTAAAGGTTGGTACTTCATTAACATATCTGGAATAATCTTGTTTGCAGTAGGCACGTCTGGTCTTTCTGCAAAGAAGATTCCGAACATCCTTTAGGTTGGGATTTCAGGAGGGGGACATTTATTAATATGTTCACTCCTGCCTGACAAATGAGCATTATCGTCAATGTGGGTGCACATTTCCACTTATCCTTTTTGTAGCTGGAAAGCTTTATGAAAAATAAATTAATAATGCATACTAAATTATGTCTGCAAGAGACATTTATGTATATATTGCTAGCTTCAAGACTGATTAGATTTACGTTTCTTTAAAAATGATTTTTTTCTTGCACATCCATAATGCCTTTAGAATGCACTGCATGATAGAAAAATGCAATCTTGATTCAATTGAATACCTGGAAGGAGTATTTTTTCCCCTATTAATATGTACCTGTGTTCCCCTAGAGTTTGTGTTATTTTTCCTAAAAGAGACCGTTCTCTTGAATTACCCCAGTCCAAATGTGTGCCTTAGGATGCAAAATGCAGCAAAGTAGATGTCCTATTATCGTAACTTGAAAGAGGTCCATTTAATAATGGCCTGTATTAAACAAGAGTCTGCTAACTATGCAGGAAAGGCTGTTTTTCACCAGAGAACATAAACCATATGTTTTAAATGCGGCTAAAAATGGATGCAGCATGCTATTTCCTTCCACCTCAGCCTGCAGTGTATTACTTAGATTTGCAAGGCATAGCCACCGCTAGTACTTAACACTGCTGAAAGAGCCACCCTTCAAGGTTTTTTTAACCACAAAGAAAAGAGAAATATAGTAGCATCGATTGTTAAATCCTGGTGCTTGTTACTCACTGCCCGCACACAGAACATCATGCCTTTGTAGCAGTGAGGAGAGTTGGTATTTATCAGGGTTCAGAGCTAGTTCAGCCACACACTTGACAAATTATTTGTGGAATTGTTGTATTCACAGTCACTTAAATAAGAATCTGTCAACACAAGGCTGTGCTTTGTTGCAGCAGGTCTCACAGTTTTTCCTGCGCACTCAAAGAATGATGGATTGGAGGTAATGCAAATTCACTACCATTTTATATGCTGGTGCCTTCTTCATAGACAGGAAACATAGCTCAGTATCATCTTGTAAAATGCCTTAACTGTAAAGGCCTAGTTCAGTGTTGAAAGTGCTTTTTAAAAATGGTATGTTGGAACAGGGAAATGTAATTCAAATATTTTCCTCACGTCTCATTTTAAAGACTGTTTGTCGGAGCAGGTGTGCATTCAGATTTTCCCAGGCTAAGTAGGACATATGCTTATCTGTGCTTGGTAATTAAAACAAATTAATAAATACAATTATTTGATTTTTATGGCAACTTAAAAGTTATACTGCTTAACGGGATATTAAATTTAAAGAGCTCGCGTGGAAGAAAAAAATGCCCATTTTCGTAACTCAGCCTGCATTGCTGATAGGAATTTTTTCAGTAAATTCATTTGTCCAGCAAAGAACACCTATCTTAAAGCTCTATAACCAATTCTAAAAGGTATAGTTCAAAGGTAAAAACCCTGATCTTTTCACAGAATGGAGCTTAAAATAATAAGTAAAACCCCTTATTTATACTGGCACATATTTTTTAGGTTGCTGTGCAAAACCGCAATGTTTTGTCCAGAACTAAAGGCAGCCACAAACCTCTTGCCACTTTCTACGCCAGCAGAGGTCAGAGCTTTTCCTTGCCCTGCTCCCAAACCTGCCACAGCCATGGGGGAGTGCAGGAGCCCCCGGGCAGCCCAGGACAGCACTGGGGAAGGATGGAAGGAGCTGGAGGCAGCTCTTGAGGGTGTCGAAATAAATAAGGAGAAGTAATAGCATGCACTGGACAAGGCTTTTCTGGACCGTTCTCATTGCAGTTGAATAAACGGAGTTATGGGCTATTTAAGTTATATCTCCCTGCCTTTTTCTTTTTGGTTGTTCAGGAAAATTGATCTTTCTGCTTTCGGAAAAAGCTTGTCTGTGCAGGAGAGGGCTTTCTCAGAGGTTCATTTCAAGTGTAAGGAATGGGCTTGCCGGGAGTTAAGGACAATCACAAATCTTACCTTGTACTGCCTCAACTTTAGGGTACGTCCTTTGATTTAGGATAATAATGGGGGATTTTCACGATGAGTATATAAAAATGTTTTCAAAACAATCAACACCACATTTTTGAGGGTGAAAATATGACGAATATTATTCACTTGGCTCAATGCCCTAATGGGAGGCCCAGATCAATGCATTATTGAAACCTTTGTAGATTATAACAGGCCCTAGTGAATTCAGTGAATATATTTCCACACACTTCAGGTGGGCCAGCTCTTAACCCCAGATACTCTGAGCCTTAAGCTTTCAGCTTGATCTGAGCAGGCACTCTAGATTTCAGTGCATGCTCAAGAGGTAAGTATTTAGCTGGTGTGCAAATCTGGGCTGAAGTAAGCTGCCCGGGCATCCTGCTACCAATGCTGCTGTTTTACACGGGTGCATTATCCGTGGTAAGAGAACTAATATACAGTACTGTTTAGTTTCAGTATTGACTGAAAGGAAATGGTTTGATAATGAAGAACATTGTCTTTTATGCATATGTGCCACCTGGACTCTTTTTGTCTCCTTTATGAGTAGTTTATTTTGACTTGCTCTCTTTACTTTCGTATTGATTGAAAGGAAATCGTTTGATAAAGAAGAACATTGTCTTTTATGCATATGTGCCACCTGGACTCTTTTTGTCTCCTTTATGAGTAGTTTATTTTGACTTGCTCTGATTTTATCTGTTATAAAATGTGTACTTCTTGAGAAACATTAAACAATAGTAAGTTGAATTTCATGCACGCGAAGGGTGTGAGTAGGTAACTGCAGGACAGCACCTCCAACCCTCTTCATTCACCAAAGCATCCTGCTGCCGTGCAGAGCAGGGGGAAAGTACCTCTGCGGTGGTGATCTGCATTTGAAGACATATCTGGAAATGTTCAGTTGACTTCATTTCATTTAAAAAAGATCCCGGTAATGCAGCGTTGTACATAAATTAATCTGCTCCTACTATACTCACAGAACACTTATGTCCTTCTGTCCCTTTTTACCTTTAGCCGTGCCAGAGGAGTGCCACCAGCACATACAGGAACTGTGGTACCTGCTGCAGGAACCAACACCTCCGCTGATGCCATGGTTTGGAGCTCTGTGACCATAGACTCTGGTCTACTCAGCTGGAGAGGTCGGTCACGATGTCTCTGCTTGTCCACGCTCTCTTCAGCCTTGCAGGGAGGCAATTCTTTGGCAGAGCCCCTGCAAGGGCTGCTCTCTGCAGCCTCGTGGAGTGTTCAGGCTTTTATAGTATTTGCCCTAGCAGCCTTTCAAAGCATTTGGAAGCTCGAGGCAGTTTCAAGAACTACAGATTGACTTACAGTATGGGATATAGTATTTTCACTTGCGTCTGAAAACGCTGTTGTGTGGCCAAAAATTAAATCGCCAAGAAATCACACATGGTTCACAACACAGCTCTTTGATAACATTAAAAGTATATGTAATATTTTGAAATCACTGGCCAATTATTTCTAATAGTTTCATGATAATTTATGTAGAGAATCTCTCTGTTGGATGTGTTCCTGCTTTGGTCTAAATGTATTTTTGAACACTCTGTCAAACATCCCCATTTGGCACCTATTTTGTTTCACTGAATTTCTTTAGTATGTCCAGATCTCTTGCCAATGTATTTGCGGAACATATTTTGACAGCTTTGTCACCAAATTTGTTACTTCTAGTGTTTGGAACGGGTATCAAATTGTGGATATTAATGTGTGTGTTTCCTTTTGGTAGAGACTCAACTGGATAATACCTTTGTCTTCTCTGATGGTGAGTATAATAAAGTGAGCGAATATATATTTTTTTTTTACTCATTGCAAATGTTATTAAGATTTAAAAATTACAAATCTGTTATAAATGTATTATTTGGTTTTATGTTTGCAGATAAAAGCATCTTGAACAGAATATGCTTAAACTTTAAAAAGTTGTGATCTTAACATTCCTTATTTACCCAAACTTTATCATAGAAATAATACAGTAGTTCCTTCCTCACTGTACGCACACACACATGTGTTTATATATATACATGTATACTTTTATTTCAATATGCTTGGATTAACTAGACTATTGAATTTCAAATTGTTGTGCTCACTTATAAAATAGTCTTCCTATTGAGTTCGTTAGAGCTGAATGAAAATGGTGTGTTTAAGGCTGATCATAATCTTTTCCATCATGTTTTTCTTAAGATGACATTTCCAGATTAAAAGAGATGACAAGATAATGCATGTTGAAATATAAACGTCTGCTTTGTGGCTCTGAGGCAGCGGCCAGAGCAAGGGCTTCTGAGCTGGCCCATGCTGGGAGCCCTCTTGGAGGCAACACACCGGGTTGTGTTGTTTCCAGCCATGTAAATCCCCGCTATTCCCTTGAAACGAGCACTGCCCACGGCCCTGCACCAGCTCATTCTCCACAGCCAGGCACAGCACGGGGTGAGGACTTGCCCCTTACAGCCCTGGTGTCCTGAGTGGCCAAGCACTGCCTTTGACCCTCGTTTTTGCTGGTACGGAGATGGTGATTGCCCACTGCACGGCTGTTGGTAGCCTTCACCATCCCTGGATGTGTGGAAACCTAGCTAACACCCTGAAACTGAATGAATGAACTGGATATGTATGCTGTTTTTCAAATATCGTCCAGAGAAATAGGCTGGAAAGATTTAATTAATTAGTTACCTTTGACAGCGGAGGCTAAATGTGACATGGAGGACGTATATTTTAGAATTCAGTTTAAATAAGGCTTAGTGGTTGCCATAGCTCCTGATTATTTTTGCTCTGTTGTGGATAGCGTAGTAGTTGGTACTACTTTTGGTCACCCTTAAAGATAATCTTGGATGTGGAGCACTGTGTGGTTCTCAGTGACAGCACTTTCTCTGAAATGGCATTTGCCCCCAGGAACAGTAGAAAACCTGTGCCTGCTTCTAAGGGCTCCTTTTTAGGCCGCTATCTAGCCTTCTTTAAAGGATGCTATTCAGTCGGCATAGAGCTCTTTGATTTTTTTTTTTTTTTTTTTTTTTTTTACTGTTGGCAGATAAGTTGTTTACTGTGCTGAATAATATGTATCAAATAGGAAATGGATCTTGAAACAGCTGGTTTTGTTGCTGATAGTAAGCCCTCCTCTTATTTTTGAAATGTAAGGATTGGTTTTAAAATGTCAGCAAAAATGGATTAATGTAATTATGTTGTATGAATCTGAAATATCTGTAGAATAAAAACCAGATTATTTTTCAAAGGGAGTGTCACGTTACACCTTTAAGATCTATACCTTAATTTCAGTTACCTGTGCAAACTTAGGTATTTCTTTTTTATTTTTAGATGGTAACTGCCCCGTCAGTTCTATAAATTGAACTTAGATTTGAACCAGAATAAAATTTTTTTTAAATGAAATTTTATTTAATGTCTTACACAGAACATGATATACAGTACGAATGGAAAACATTTCCAATACATTTTAGTTTTTAATTCCAATTCTGTGGTCCTATGCAAGAATATCTGAGTTTTTAAGCAATTTCTTCCAGCTTATCTGGACACAGACCACAATCAGGACACAGGCACAATCAGGGCATGAGAAGCTCTTCCTCAAAAAGAAATTGCATTAACTTAAGATGACAAAAGCAGGATGGCTATTCTGTGTCTGTACTAGATATAGTGTATACACTGCATTTTTTCGGGTAAATTATTTCTCAAACCTGAAGCCCAGCTTAAGTGAGGGCAGCAATCTTGTGCCAGCTGCCAACATTCTCCGGAGAAATAGGAGCTATAGGCCATAGAAATGGCCTGGTCATAACATACTTTTCTTGCCATTAGAGAAGAGAGTAACATAATAGCTGCTCTGCTAGTTTCATAATACCAAAGAATTTCCTACAAAATAGTGGAGTCCAGGGCAAGGTGTGGAATAAGTTAAAATTATAAAGAACAGGCTGACCTGCCATTGATTCAATTTTCTTTTTGGTTGGAAATTCTGCATTATAAAATATATATTTTGCTTGTTAAATTTGATATTGACTTCCTTTGTTCCATGGAAATTCTGAATTTTTGCTTTGTGCTTGAACATTTTTCACACAGTGATAACAAAATATAAATCAAACACCCTAATCCAGACAAAGTAAATCATCAGCTGTTCTGCATAATTTTGTTTGAGTGTTAGTAGAAGACTAACTCTTCCAGACAACTTCTAACAGATTGCTAAATACGCAAACAATTTGCTTATTGGAGGTGATATTTATCAAAAAAACTCAGAAGAATGCATGCACTGAAATACATTTATGGTCATGTAAAAAATGGATTGACCTGTTGGAGACGGACCTTAGCTCCTGAGGAGAAATGAAATGCTTTGGAAGGTTCCATGAAACACACGACATTATTGTGTATATATAAGAAGTAATAATGTCATCTGTTTTTTTCTGTTTCCTGTTGATTGACTTTTATAGCTTGCAAACATTATGCTGGATTGTAAATTGCAATAAATTTAATCAAGAATTATTTTATTCAGCCTACTAATGAGAAATAATAGCGTATGTATCAATTAGACATGTCAATTTGTGTGAAGAAATAGATTTACAAAGGGATAGTAGGTAAAAAAAAATATCATTGGTATCAATTCACTTCATTATTTTTAATTTGCTGTGAATATTGAGTGCTTCCAACATAAAATCATTCCTCAATTAAAATAAAACAGCTGTACTCCTATCAGCTTTTCCTTGCTTGTTGTTGCTTACAGATTAGCAGTTGTCATTGGCTTCAGTCTGATGTCATTTCATTAATTTCCAGCCATAAATGGGTAAAAAAAATAAAATAATAATAAAAATCTTTGGCTTGTCAATGTACTTAGTAACATATATAATTTTTTTTTTTTTTTCAGATTTCACTGAAAGGGCAGAAATACTGCAGCCACAACATTTAGTGGATATCTGACAAAACCCCGGCCACTTCTGTTCTCCAGCGTCAGCAGAGCAGTAGAAGTTGTGAGCCCTTTATTCATTTTGGCACTTTTTTATTACACTGGATTCCTTCTTTCCCCCCAGGCGATTTCTAGTAAACTAGATCCCACAAATGTGTTACAGTGTAAAGGAGAAAGATGAATTCTGAATTGGATTGGTTTGTAGGTTGCTTTCATTGTAGGATCTAACGAGCCCCTCTCCATCCTTTATTAGCAACTCTGTGCTCTTGTTTAGTTTTCCAGGATAACACTGAGCATGTTTGTGTTTCTGAGTGACGTATGTAGCTCTGTGGTTGTCCTTATTTCTCTTCAGATAGATCAAAAGACTGACAATAAGAGTACATTTATAGGGAAGCATAGGAGTTGCAAAAGTTATTTCTGCAAGCCCAGATGTGAAAATGTGGTGTATAATTTCTTCTGTTAACTTCTATTTTTCTAGTAGTTAAGTTCCTAATGGTCTTACAAGATTTTAAACTGGTCTACCTTACCTTGTTATCATCTAGTTTTGTTTAATGGAAAGTTAAAAAATATAGATCTTTGTAAAGGTGTGGTATATAAGATGTAAAAGGCATGCAGGAGCAATCAATAATTACGTGGTTTATATTTTAATAGAAAATAATATTCTCTCTCAGATGACTGTGGTTTCAAGAAATAAAGGTAAGCTGTACTTCTGATTATTTTTCCCGGCAGCTGGTGTTGTAGGTTTCAATACCTTTAGATCCTACTGACGGAATGCATTTTACCATGGTGTATTCTTATTATTTTTTTGTTACCAGTGAGAGCTTTTTGATAGAATCCCTAAAAGAGAATTCATGTCTGTAGGGAGACTGAACACATGGGATCTGAATCCTAGTTAATAGTGAATTCTCTATTAAAAGAAGTAAAAGCTTATGAATATTTTCCTTAGTTCTGAGAGCGGAAGCTGACACTAGCTTGTATCAGAGAATTTTAACTAATGATTATTACAATGCTCATCTGCTAATTTGCGTCTCGGTAACTGGAATCAGTATGCTAAATATGTGTGAAGTTTTTAGAGCTCCTGATAAAATTTCAACTAGCCAAAGACTTATCTGCATTTTGCTATTATTGAAATAATAATAAATATCAGTGAATGTATTAACTATATTTCTTTTTATGAATTCACTGAATTTAAGCAGAAGATCATTGCATAAGCTGAACACATCTTCAATTTTTGATAAATCTAGGGTGTTACCATTTAATGCTGAAGACTTGTTAAAAAAAAGGCTATGTGAGTTTAATGCTATTCTTTTGAATAGGTACCTACATATTTCAAAATTCAATAAGAAATGTTGTTGAAAATCATAGACGTGCCTAATATATAGATATGCTATTTGTAATGTATAATGGCATCTACACTGGGACTTGAGCTGATTAATTTATCCCAGGCGATATATCTGTGCAATGTAACGCACCACATCTGATGCCAAACTTCTTGGGTGATGTTTGGAGAAAGAATTTTCCCAGCTGTAAAACAAACATAAGAAAGCTTTCAAAATTCTGGGAGAAAATGACAAACAGGAAATTCACATTGTAGGATTGATTGCTGAATTTCTTAAATTGTAAATAATTATGAGTTGGGATACTGTTATTTACAAATAAACTTTGTTTTTTATCAGTTAGTATCAACAGTCACTGTCAATCATTTCTTGTATTTCCTGTTCCTATGCTTAACATTTTAAATTGTCTGTGTTCTGTGTCTTGGTGTTGGAGTTACATTAAGCGATATCGCTACCAGTTTAATAAATATGATCATTGGTTTTTTATATGGGTAATTTGACGTTTTTAATGGGTGAACTTACTGCTCTTTAACATTTAAGAGGAAGCATCAAAAGACCCTTTCAGCGTACTGAGAGAAGCACAAGTTGAAGGACGGCGCTGATGAGATGAGACCAAGGAGGAGGCTGCAGCATCATTCACACGTTCATCTCCGTGCTGAGCTCCTGCCCTAGAGCCCCAGTACCACGCTCACCGGGGATGCTTCTTGGGGATCCAGCTCCTGCCATTCTGTGACTCCTCATTCCCCTTCTGCGGAGCTTCATTTCTACTGGTATCCATCCTGACAGTCTCTGGGGCAGGCTGGCTGCTGCTCGTGCTGCCAGACCCCTGGCTGAGCACCTTGGCATAAGTCAGGATACAGAACCTTATTTTTGTTTCTCAGTGGGGAATCACCCACATATCACCCAAAGGCACATATCTTGAATCGAATCATCATAAAGAGAGGAAAAAAATATTTCATTTCTTCTTTAGGCCCTTGAAACAAATTCATTGTCCTATTTGTGCACTAGGCAGTATTCTTGAAATCAAAAGCAGATCTTTTAAAACCAAGATGGACATTAATTTTATCAACCACGTGTCTTAGAGAATACCTACCCTGTTTGAAAATTATTTCTCTATGTGAAGCTATGCCTAAGTTTACAAGCTTAGCAAGACCTTAAGTGACTTGCTTTATACAACCATTCAGTATTGCCCTGCACTCCAATAATCCTTTAGTATAATAAAATATATGTCTTCACTTCTTTACTAGAAGTTATAGAGAAGTCTTCTGATCATCCAGCTATGAAAAGCACCATGACTGGTTCTGCCCAGAAGCTGCATGAATACATATGGAGCAGAAAAGTTGCTCTTTATAGCCAGCTGTAAAATTCTTTCAAACGCTGTGAATGTTCAGCCTGAGAAGGCTTTTCTCACCGAGATATAGATTAGCTTCAGCACACCAGCCTTCAGCAGTATGTACGAGTCAAGATTTCACTCCAAGCCTACACTTTACTGGTGAAACTCAAAGTCAGCCAGCCCATTTCAAGAAGAAAAACAGCGTTTGGTTGCAGCAAGATACCCCAGAACATGCTCCAGCTTTGACAAATGTTGTAATTAGTTGCTTTTGTGTGTTTAGTACACAGTGCAAACGTGGTAAAATGTTTTTCACATGATGCAACATTGCCAGCAGATAATCATTGGAGCATTAAACCAAAAGAATTTGTATATTTCTTACAAGCTGCAGGAGGGTAAGAAAATGTAGACAAAAGCTATCAGCCGAATTTTTCAGATTATACCATTCCTTTTCTTTTGTTGAACTGATGCATTTTTTGATGTTACTTTTTGTCAGTTTCTCTAGAAACTGATTAGAAAACCCTAAACCAATGTGAAAATGCTTTTGTTTCTGTCCTGGTTTTGACTGTGTGAATTTTTTAGAACATTTTCAGTTTAATTATGCAGCACTAAAAATTGCAATTAAACTGAATTTGCAATTGAAACTGCTCATTTTAGTTAACTGTCAAATTTACTACAGCATTGTGAAATAGGGGCCTTTATTATTATGAGGTGTTTTGGAAAAAATGACTTTTTAAACAGGAGAAAAATGTCGTATCTCTCAATCCTATCACAAAGAGCCAACAATTTAAAGAGATACCCAACCAGTGAAGGTAGTAACTTTCTAAACACAATGGATTTTGTTCCAGGTGCTGTCTTAAATTATTGGTGTGCTGCAAGTACAGACAGTATTGAATAAAGTATTTTTTTGCATATTTAACCTGTTTTATGAAATGTGTTTTTCAAATGTAGGTGGAAGGCTAATGTTGGTTTAAAATAACCTACTTGTCTTGGGGATATCTGACGTGCCATGTTTGGCAGGCCTCTGTGACGCCATTTGATGGATATTGTGTATTATATGAGACTGTACGAATCTTAATATCTCTGTTCCTCTGTTTTAGCAGATGTACAGTGATGTACAGCTCTGTGTACATAGAGCATCTCAGACTAGTGTCTGAGACTACCCTTTTCCTCTAAGCCCTAGGCATTTTTATCACTGTGCCAATAAAAGGAAAGGGATTTATGGGGTACTGCTTTTTAATTCATTCAATTCTCTGTTCATTGTGAGGTTAATGTTGTTGATCTATTTTTCTCTTGAAACAAATAAAAACAATATGTGCTGACACTGACTTTGACTTTTGACATGGGAGATAGAGGTCAACATTTAATTCTATATTTATAGACTACATGAACAATATTATCTGTATTAAAAACTGTTCACTCAGTCCTTGTCATTTTACAACTTAGTTCAGTAGCTTATATCACATTGAACGTTTTCTCCAACTCTGATCAAGGTGCCATCATTCACAATGCTACACAAGGAGTTGTCAGCCTTTCCATTAAAACCACCTTTTTTCAGGGGTTCCTAACTTGACTAGCTTAAAAAAAAAAATGCACTAAGATTGACCTGGGGCTTTATTTCAACAAAACATACATTAAACCCAATATACCCCAAACCCACAACTCAGAAAACCAACAAAGAACTCAAAGAAAGCCCGGAGCCAGGTCGTTCAATGGCCATTTTTATTTCAGTAATTAATGTGATTTATCGAGCAGGTATAACACTGCCTAAATATTCATCCATTTCTTTCTGTCTGAAATATTCTTGGCTGTTTATATTTGTAAGTAGCTCTTGCCTGTCCACTAACAGATGCCTCAAGCCCAGACTACTCAGAAATTGTATACTGGTAACACAGTCAGTGACCTGACTATTGTAATGAATGCACGTGGTACAGCTGTACCCGTATAAGCCCCCTCACAGCTGACCTTACACTTCTATAGACAATTTTCCTTCTCAAATGGAAATAGCTCTTATAAGAAATTTTTCCTTTCAGGAAAGGAGAAGGAAGGACTATCCTGTTTTATCTGTAGTGGATACAGAGGTACTGCAGTTGTGCATGAGCGTTTCTTATGATATGGAGCAGGACCTTCGGATCCCTGGAGCAGGTAAAGCTAAAGTGATTTCACTGGGACAAATCCTTAGACTATCTATACTGTTCTCACATTCCTGGGTATAATGACCTTTGTTAATTTTACGAGCTAAGGCCTGGCATGAGTAAACATACTTTGTTTTATTCTTGATTGCAGGATAAGGACCCTTAGCGTACCTTATATTCAACAAAGAAATTGAGTTATCAATTATCAATTATTATTAACTTGCATTTGATTTTAGAGATTATCCTTTTGTCAATGGCAAGAAATTTGAGACTAAAGTTGTCTTCCAATGCAAACAGGCAGTATAGGTCACTAACATACTGAAGTGGATAAAGCATCTAAGCTTGGGAGTAATAAGAGTGAAAAAAAGGAATAACTCGTACAGTTTAGTCTGTGCATTTTTTAAAATATCTTAGCATATACCATATTTAAGTAAAAACCCCAAAATAGCTATAGCAATCTGTAAGTTTTTGAAATATGTGACATTTTATACATATGCAGTGGTCCATGCTAACTGCTAAGGGTTTTTTAAAGGAAGGTTTATAGAAATTAATATGCATTTTTAAAAAGTGTTCAGTAATTCATATATCGTTCTTGGAAAGCAGAGATTCTACCACGTTTTGTATATGTCTGTCTTAATACAGGCTGTGAAACTGAAACATTGATGGATCGTGTTACATACCATGCAGTTCTGAAAAGTTTTTCATTAAAATGAACTCGTAAAGACTCTTAGTGCTTGCTTCTCAGCAGATGGCAAGAGGTGTTTATTTGCCTTGTGGAATTCTTTCTGTTTATATACAGAGAAAATAGAGAGGACAACTCTGAAGGATCTGGCTTGTACTTGTAGGGCTATTTAAAATAGATATCGTTATTGAAAGTAATACAGGAGGTTCAGTTATACGCTCTTTTTCTAACCAGCTCTACCTTTGCATTGAAACTGTTCCAAATATTGGACTTTCTCA